ACATGCCATTTTATAATATAACTGCCTACAACCTTTGTTCAACTTAAATCCACTCCACCTGACATTGCACAGATGGGTAGACGGTAACATTAGGTATGCGTACAGCATGCCCCAGACACCTTAGTCGACGAAGGTTTACAACCTCATCAACTGACTTATGTCTGCCTAAAACTCTACGCCTGACTTTCGCGTTACTGACATGATCGTTGCATTACACATGGTCAATGCCTTAACAAGTAACAGGTTACATAAGTGAAACATTCTTGGGTTGTCCACCCTCAGTGGTCATGTTTCACAACCATAAATTAGAACGTAACTATCTGCTGCACAGTACACCCGACCCTCCGCCGGCAATCGGATATCACGGTTTTATAGGCGGCGTAAGTTGGAGAGAGTCAAGCGAGCCTTTTATATATTTTTGCAGAGAATCAGTCGGTCACTGACATATCAGTGTTTATCCAACTTCTCAAGTAACTGAAGTGGTCAACGCAATTATTATTATTATTATTATTTGTTGCTTGGGCTCCTAATGGAACATTCGGCTTCAGTAGCACGTCTCCAATGCTTTCTCTTCTCTGAAATCTTTTGAACCTGGCTTCACGACAGCCCACAAGCTCTCATTTCCTCCTCGCACGATCTCCTCAATGTCATCCTCGGCTGAGACACCCAACTCGTTGCTTCCCATCGGGGTTCCATATGAGTGACTGGCCCGACGCGTAGTGTCCCCAGTCGGCCTTCTCAGTGTATGCCCAATCCATCTCCACTTCCTTCTGCATATTCCTTGAGCGATAGGTTCTTGGTTAGTTCGTTACCAGAACTCCTTGTTGCTTATTCTTTCTGGCCATCTGATCTTCAGTAACGAGACAATGTAGGCAGTTGTTGATGAATTTCTGTAGTTTGTTGGAAATCCCTTTCGTAACGCGCCAAGTCTCTGAGCCATACAGAATCACTGATTTGACGTTGGTGTTGAAAATCCGGATCTTGCTCCACATGCTGAGTGCAGATCTCCACACTGGTTTCAGGCAAATAAACGCCTGTCTTACTTTTCTTATTCTGACCCTGAAATCCTCGTCAGTGCCGCCTGTGGTTGAAACAGTGCTTCCTAGATAAGTGAAAGAGGCTACTTCCCTTAAGTTTCTCCCGTTGATGGTGATTGGAGTTTGTTGTTGGTGGTGGTGTTGTTGGTTGGGTATCTTCATCACCTCTGTCTTCTCTATATTCACTTGAAGTCCCGTCTTCGCTGCCCTGACCTACCTCTTCTGTCAACTTGTTAGTGTTCACCTGTAGATCTTCAAGTTTGTGTGACATCAGACATAAGTCATCACTGGCGAAATCCAAGTCTTCTAGGTTCTTTTCCGCAGTCCAGCGTATCCCCCTCTTCTCGCTCCCCACTGTTTGCTGCATGATCCAGTCCACCACAATCAAGAATATCATGGGTGATAGTAGACAGCCTTGTTTCACTCCTGTCTCCACTTCAAAAGCATCACTGAGCTTCCCATTGTGAAGTACTTGGCATGTGGCATCTTCATATAGTTGTTGAATGAGATTAATAAATGTTTGTGGTATTCCGTAGTATTCAAGCAGCTTCCAAATTACCTCTCGGTTGACGCTGTCAAAAGCCTTCTCAAAGTCGATGTAGTTGAGGTAGAGAGTCAACTGCCATTCTATGCTCTGTTCTATGATGATGCGAAGCGTTGCAGCTTGGTCCACACATGATTTCTACTTCATGAAGCCTGCCTGTTCCGGTCATACTTTTGAATCCAGTGCATCCTTTAGTCTCTCCAAGATGATGCGGCTTAACATTTTGTTTGAAAAGGGTGGACAGGAGCGTGATCCCACGCCACTTCTTACAAACACTGAGGTCTCCCTAAAATCTTTGGGAGTTTGACAAAATAGCCCTTCTTCCAATCAACAGGCAGGTACCTTCCCTTTCTTCCACACCTTCTCCAATAGTGGTGTGAGCATGTCCGCTGTTGTCTCTGCGTCTGCTCCCAGTGCTTCTGGCGGGATTCCATCTGGTCTTGCTGCCTTCCTGCATTTCAGTAACTTTATGGCGCTCAGGACTTCCACTTTTGTTGGGGGATTTGTGTTCACTTGTAGTTCTACCGTTGCTGGTGGTATTTCTGGACGAAGTGCAGGTGGTGGTCGAAAAAAATTCAAGAGCTTCTTGAAGTGGTCGGCCTATTATTTCCTCTGTTCGTTTTCTTTGGTAATTAAATTTCCATCATCATCTTTTATTGGCTTCATCTGTGTTGATCTCTTCCCTCATAGTAACCTGGTTATTTGATACAATGTTGTCAGGTGTCTGTTACCTGCAGCCTGTTCTGCTTCACTTGCCAATGTGTCGTAGAAGTGTCTTTTGTCTTTCCACCCACTCTTCTTCACTTCTTTGTCCAGTGTTTTATACATTGTACTCAGTTCCTCTTGTCGTTGAGCATCCTTGCACTGGTTTATCTTCTGCTTCACCTTCGTCCTCTCCTCTATCAGCTTCCATGTGTCCGTCGAGATCCATTCCTTATCTTCTTTCTTCTTCCTTCATAATACGGTTGTGCAGGTTTCTTTCCACATAGCTTTCAAAGACTTCCAGCGTTCTTCCACACAGCTTTCAAAAAAAAAAAAAAAAGATATCTCCCATTTTGTCTTGATGGCTGACGTGAAGATTGCCTTTGTAGTTTCGTTCTTCAGTTTCCGAGTGTTGCACTTGAACTGTGGTCTATCACCAGCTTCCCTGAAGGCTTTCAACTTGATTTGGAAGATAAAATCCTTGCACTAGATAGTGGTGTGAACCTACATCTGCTCCTTCTCTTGACCCTTGTGTCAAGTAGGCTGCGTCTCCACTCTCTTCACATTGAGATAAAGTCGATCTGATTTTTAGTGTGTCTATCTGGTGAAATCAATGTAGCTTTGTGGATATCCTTGTGCTTGAACACACTGCATCCAATCACCAAATCGCTGAATGCACAGAATTCTGCAAAAAATTCTCCTTTCTTGTTCATCTCACCTAGCGTTTCTCAGCCCATGGTTAGTTCTCTTCCTGTGTTGTCCCCTCCCAGTTTGCCATTCATGTCACCCATTACAATTTTGATATCGCCAACTGACGTCTTGTCCAGTGTTGATTGCAGTTGTCTGTAGAATCCCTCCTTTTTCTATTGTTCTGCATTATTTGTAGGTGCGTGGTGTAGCATTGTATGATTGTGACCTTCCTTCCTTTTGAGTTGAACCATGCTATCATGATCCTTAAAAAAGAGGAGATTGGTTCCCACTGCATGAGAACCTTCGATGCTCTTGGGGAAATCATGATAGCTACTCCATAACTCAGTGTGCTGGTGGTTGTCGTCTGGGTGAAAATATCGGAGTAGATCATTGATTCTCCAAAAAAGTTGAAGTTTCGAGAGTCCACTCCCATTCCATCTGCTTTCACAAATTCCAAGCACTTCAATGTGATACCTCCTCATCTCGTTTGCAATCTGGGCTGCCTTGCTGGATTCAAACATGGTGTGGACATTCCAAGTCCGCACGTTTGCTTTCGCTTTCATCGAGGGAGAGAAGACACATCGGCTAATTGGCTTCCCGGAGGCTTTCACCAATCGGCGTCATTTCGCCTCTCCGATTCCAGTGAGGAATAATTTTGTTATTATTTTCTATATTTTGTTTGTGTTGTGGAGTTTCTTTAGCGGTTGGATTTGTTTTCCGGGGTAGGGTTGCTAGCCCTATGCCCAACCTTCCCTCTTTTCCCTGGCTTAAGACCGGCTGGTAACTAGTGAACTGGTTAACCAGGCGAGGTTGGTCAACGCAATGAATCACTTCAATCCCTATTATGAGACAACTTATTGATGTGAATGATCCCTGAAGCAATAATTTGCATTTGGTTGACGAGAAATGACCCTTGAACATTCTCAAATTGTCGCTCATGTTGAGATAATTGCATCTTATCACCGTCACCCTAAAGGGCTGTCATCTGGGTACGTATGATCGACTAAGGAATCTTTTACTTGATGAATCTCTATAAAGTCATACGACGAAAAGAAGACCTCTATAAGAACATCTATGATAAACCCAAATGAAGATAGAAGGGGAATCTCTGACGAAAATTCGTCCGTGCATTAGAAATAAATGATTAACGGTACTGAGTAACAGTTGGGTGGTATTTATATTTTTCAACTAAATAGACAAGATGTAAGAAGTCTTGTGTTTGGTGTCATTGTGAAATAATAGGATACTACAAAGTATCTCAATCAACGTATCAAAATGAAGCTGTCACAAACCAGAAAAGCAACCACCATGAGGAAGTGTATAGCAATACTATCAATACTACAGAATGTCCACAATATGAGTCCACTAAATATTACTTACTGCTAGAGTTAAAGAGCACTTAATTCAAATGGATGACCACCCCAATGACTATGAACAACCAACCAGAAGCAACAGTTTACGAGTTAGACCTACAGCAACGAGGCACGTTCAAATACTCATCCAAGCCGATCTGTGTCAATACTGTATAACCATAATACAGAATAAATATATCTATTGGAGCATGAATCCCACTGGTTATCAGAACTGTCTTCAGAAAAAAGTACAGTAGGCAAACAGGTCGAACGAACAAAAGCGAACGAGATGCACTCAGCAACTTTGTGCACGTCCGCGCAGCAAACAACGAGTCATACCTATTGCGTGAGGGTTTATGATACCACCCAAATATAGGTAGACAGAGTCCCATTTGAGCCGGTAGGCTGCTGGTTGAAAGCAAACTGCCTGAACCGACGAGCAAGTAGGTTTTCCGGAAAAAGGGGCAAGTCTTATGGCGCGCACGAAATTATCTTTTGCAGAAATGTGCCTACAAATCCCTGAGTCCACTCAGTGTCTACCGGCTGGTATTCAGACGGAGAGAATTCTGTTGACATAAGCCAATGGAACATGGGGGAAAATGCATTCATGTCGCAAACACCTCGAAGTTAATGGTTTCAATTTATATACCAATAATTAATTAAAATCAACTCTACCTTTTATTGGTAAGGGTGCTGAGAGTTGCAACCTTAGGCCTGTTGACTGGGGTCGATTTAATCAGTGTAGAAGTATTCTCCTGTCTGCAACTATCATTAAATGCTTGTGAAATCTGATCAACGTGTGGTGAGTTGTTTGAATGTACAGTATCATCAGAATCAAAATAAGCCTTTACAGCTTCCTGAAATATAATTAGATCTATATGTAGCTACATACATCACAATCTCCACTGAAAGCTTCTAAAAAGTGTTCCGCTTCTGTCTTTGAAACTCCAGTTATGCTGCAAAACTTTTCGATTTCAGACGAGTCCATTCACACTAAGAGAAATGAAATTAAGAACAAAATTCGCTGTACAAGTTTCATTACAGATGAAAAATAACACACTGCATAAGGTAATTGGATTTATTTTAGCTAACAATATACAACAACTACTATTTTACATGAAAGCTGGCAATCTATGGTGCGGAGGAAATGTAACGCAGTTAATTAACTTTAGTGCACTCCTACACTCGTCAACATACAGTCCAAATTGTTATGTAGAAGACTATTAACTTCTGTTAATCCTTGTAGCAATTATTTGTATGAAGACTCATCTAGTCATTCAATGTGTTTATCTCAGGATCTGCTGTCACCTGTTTCGGAAAGGCAATGCTCCACTTGAATGTTGTTTAACCCTGACTTTTGAGTGTTTTAGGGACGTCTAAAGTCTTAGGTCTCATAAGGAGTGCATGAATTAGATAAATCAGTACTCAAGTCATTCGTTGATACATGAAAAGTCAAAATTAGATCACCTCTGTTCCTGCTATAAGGGGACAAGGTTTTGATGGCCAATACCTCTTCATAAGGAAGATAGACAAGACACCTGAGTAGATAAATCCCAACACTTTTAACCCAGTTTGACGCATTAGCCTCCGTTTCGATATGAGTGGGCAGTTATCTTCAAATAGTCACTGACCGAGTACAGGGTCTCGGCTAACTGGATTCTACGTTTACAACCAGTGAATAACTAGTTGTTTCAAATGGTAGGGGAAAAGGGCTTTCGCCTGAGCTGATTTCGTGTGTAGAGGCAGTGCACCGCAAAATCCTTTCACCGATAACCTCTTCACAAACAAACAGAGTGAAAAAATGGTTATCAGAGAAGGACTGAGTAAGGTGTGATTGAGCCTAAACATCCTGAGTAAGCGAAAAGTCACCGTCCCTGAAATATAGACGAAGAGCATTAACAAATACTGTAATAATTGAGTTCAGCGAATAGTCACACACAAAGGTGCAGGATTAGAGTTTCACAAATAAAATAAACTACAAAGGACTAGAATCCTCATATTTAAAGAAAGACTGTTGCTGCAAGTTGGACTAAGTTGGTGATGAAGTGGGTGTCTAGAGTTGTTTAGGATGCCATAAGCCATTTGCTACTCCTCTCTTAGGCTCTCTTACTCCGAAAACATAGTCCAGGTGCTACCAGTCATTCCTCGTATGTTTCAAACCTAAGTAAATGGACAGGTTCGGTCGACTGTCTTTGGCTGAACTCAAGGCCCAATTTGTCTTCCTTCAGGGACAAGGTAGGACTATATTTTAGAACTTCCGGTGGAACCGTACAAAACTGCTAAGAACCTGGTGGAAACATATATTATCAAGCTGCCCGAAAACTAGCCACAGACTTATTAGTGCTAAGTTCTCACAAAATGCATTTCTGTCAAAGCTGACATGAGATTTTAACTCTTGTTTACAGCATTATCATCGTGTGGGTGAGTTCTCTACTCGTGATATGAGTTTATCCAAAATCATTTGTGTTCTATTGCATGTGTCCTTGTTACCACTAGGTATGAAAACAAATCGTACGCTTACATATTGCTTTCATCCAGTGAATAGATTGTTTGAGGGTTAAAGGAAGATGGCAAGTTATTATCATTCCCAACAGCGTTCCGATGCTGTTATATTCCCCATTCCCATCTTTATTTCAAGAACAGTTTTATTGTCATTCATCCGGATGCATAGTAGGTAACTCACAATCCTACACTTCATGCACCTTCGTTTGCATAAGGATTGAGTCCGTGCAGAATCTATTTATGCTTGGTGGCAGAATTATTGTGTATGATCGACAGTAAAGTCCTAACTGTATACTCATGTCCGAAGAAGTTTCTCGGTCGAATGCCACAGCCTCGTGAAATACGCTAGCAGGAGGTTGAGGACGAACTTTTGGCATCTCATTCGTTGTTGGGACCGGTTGGCTGAGAATTTTTCTGGATATTCCAAGCTGGGAACACATGAAGCCTAAAATGCCCACAAGTGGGGGTCGAACAGTCATCGTTTCGGGTAAATATGTCGTAATTCAAGAAGTTGAAGATAGCACAGAGTTGGTAGGATCCCTTCCGGACAGGAAACTTTGAACGGCATGTGCGAACGTCAAAAGTGTAATCATACCAAGATTGTCACGTATAAGTAGGAAGGACGAGGACTCAGGTTATGTTATTCCCCGATTCAATGCACAGGTACCGAGTAACTGAAAACTCCTTCTTTACCGTAGTTATGACTATTATTTCCGACCTATGTGACACTCCCCATATATTCAGAGCATTTGTGGTAACAACTGAAATCATAAGGGATAATAGAGTGGACTAGATGTACCGATGAAAATCGTCTCGCGCTGACGTAAAAGCTGCCTATCGCTTATATGCGAGTGTGTCCTTGAAATAGCCTAATATCAGAAGAAAGCCGCTTTAACCTGAGTCTTACAGACTGCCAGAATAACCCCTGGAAATACTACGCGATTCCGCTTACTACGCTGTCGTTATACATGCGTCAAAATTCTAATTGCTGCACTTCATCTATCTTTTGGGCTGCAGTGGTATTTCAAAAGTTGCCCCTGGAATTCGAATGCTCTTTGCTTCTTACCTGTGGTGAAATTGATTTGCAATAACCCACGCATAAGACATGATGCAAAGCATGCGCCTTGAAGCAAAAAAGTAACAGAAAGCCGAACCCGTCCGGAGCAGAATAGAACCTTGCGCCTAGGTGTCACTCACACGCTACCGACTGCATGTGGGAGAATACCACTGGCTTAATAATTCGCCTGTTTGTTCTCCTTTTCAGTAGGGGTGCGCAATGACGTGATAGCAGGAATAGGATGTGAAGGGAATGAGTGATGGAAGTGTGTGTGCAGATGATGCTTCAGTTGTTTTATATGCCTTAATGCTATGAACATACGTCACTGGTAAGCAGACACGTCCTGCTAACTTTGCTGGAACATGTCCACTGGTGGATATTTACCCCTGAATTTTCATGAACATGCACAAAAAACCCGGTTGGATAATCTGTTTTCGTTATTCCTTGCTGTCAGCCGCTTGAAATCTAAGACAACCCCTAACTGTTATAGCGGGTTTTCGGCCACGTTACCCAGGTCGATATACTTCGTTAAAACTTCGTTGTTAAAGACCCAAGAACGTAGTCACCTGCGATTCAGTCTTAAGCCACTTGGGTATCTCCCCGTCTCTCGAACCACTGCGCTTTCTATACGGTTGTAAGCTTGAAACGTGTATGGAGCATCAGCCTACTTTTAGCGCCTTGTTTGGTAGTAGATTCCTGCTGAACCAACCTGCAAAGGGTCTACTTAAAATTGGATTCCGCATCCACGTTAAATGTTCGCGCTGATACACATTTGAAACAGTTAACGCTCTGCGTCTGGTCTTACCAACACGAGGTGAGCAGAGTACTATGCCTGCGTTCGGAAAGACAACTTCCACGACCGCCTCCAACGCCCTGCTGCAACCTGTAACGAATGTTTGAGTCACGCCCGATTCACTCATTGTTTATCTCAGGGAATCCAGGCTCCACCCACCCCACGCAGGCATGGCCAACCTATAGTTTCTAAGCTTTCTGTTACGGCAAATCGACGCCGTCCATAACCACGCCTGCCATGGTGGTGATTGACACACCCCTTTCGCTTGCACCATAATTCTGGTCGAAACGAAAGATCTTCAGCTGTTGAGGTCAATATGGGGCCAAATATGCCTCCCGAATTCCACTGTCGGCTACCATCCACCATCATTATTAATCTGTAGCTACGTTTGTAGTTACTGTAGTAATGGCTGACTTGCTCTACCACGTTTGTTTTTAGTCGGGTCGAAACTGGTGGCTTGCAGGAAGTGCTGGCAGGTGGCGGTTTGGTCAGAGCTGCTAAACGTATCCTGCCTGTCCTCTGACACTCATCATCACCGCGGGTCAGCAGCTGGCCGATATTCCCCAATTCATCAAACGTGACTGCTTCAGGCCCGCAACCTTTTGATTCAGGTTTACTATGGAAGATGTCATTCGGTATAGTTTTCTTCTGCAGATTCTTTAATTAGCCATTAGCTGCGCCTTTCATCGGAGCCTACTTAACATGCTGCATAACGTCGTCAGTTTCAAACCTTACGACCTCATAGGTCTCATTACCCCGTTAGCTTTCAACATCACGGATTTCTAACAAAGGATTTCAAACCACTCTCATAGCTATGTAACGTCTATACACACCGCAGAATAAATCGTTTGCCCTGGAAGCGGTTTCGAATTCTTGCTTGGCACTCAATATATTCGGATCTTAAGTGCCATTCCCCTCAAGAGCCTCAGATTACCTCCCATACGCTGTTTCATACTCTCAGACTTCTTGTTATTAGATGCATACAACAAAAAATGGCGGTACTTCAGTCTTGGGTCTTTTTTCCTTTGATATTCACTTACTACGTAATGCCTGTTTATCATCTAAACATCAAGTTCAGTAACTTCCAAGCATACCTTCTGAAACGTATATGTCACCTCTTCCATGATGCTCCAGACAGCAAAATGTCCGAGTCGCATAAGTTGCTCGAATACCTCTGAAATATTGACGTCCACTGAACTATCCAAGGTACCGTTGCTAGTAGACATTTTACAATCCACTGAGGCTTTGATAATGAATAGATAAGGCAGTCTTCTCTTCAGGCTGCCAGCTGAAGGATAACTAGCAAACACTGAAGGTGCCAACGTCTGCATCAACTGCTTCGACCACCAGGTGAAAGCCTTTGATGTTAGAGGAATTCAGGAAAGAAGCAAGCTAGGATGCTTGACCAAACTTTCAACGTCAAAACTGTCTAGCAGCTGACCTTAAAGGCGATCAAAAACGTCGACCTAACGAGCGCAGCACGACACGGGAAAATTCAGTGAATACAAACGTCAACCATGGCTACAAACTGAATAACTCAACAAGGCAACAATGAGCACGTAACACATTATACAGCAAAGCCTATCAATGGTGAGGGAAGTGACCTCCGGCAGTCAAAAGGCAGAACTCTATTTGG